GCCTGATGTCCACTCCAGACGCAAGCCTCAGCGCCCTGGCGGCCCAGCCAGCACCTGGTGCTGCACTGGCCAGCTTTTCCATCTCCACCGGCTCGGACACCGCCGCTTCCCTGGGACGGACTTCGCCAGCTCTGTTGCCCGAGCACCTCCCCCATGCCCATCGGTCTCCTCTGTTACTGTCTGGCCAATCTCCGCCGAGCGGCTCGCCGCGGTCTTTTGTTTCGGCCGACCTGCCCGAGTCTGGGGCGCCCAATGGAGGCGGGCCGGGCCAATATTCCCGGCAGAATATCACTCACTTGGCATCCAGTAGCTTTGCCCTGGCACCCGATGCCGATAATGAGCTCTTCCAGCCTCTTTGTCCGCCAGAAAACTTCGCCCTCGTCACCCCTGGGGTATATCGGTCTGGCTTTCCGCGTAAGAAGAACTTTCGCTTCCTCAAACACATCAAACTTCGCTCGATCCTGTGCGTTGGTCATCCTGCCGATCCCCCTTCCCCCCATGCCCCTCTCTCTCCCTCCTCCCTCTCCCCCTCTCCCATCACCGCCCTTTCTTGCCATCCTGCATCGGGGTTGTGTCGCTGGCATGGACTGACATCCCCCAACAGGACCCTCATCTTGGAGGACTATCCAGAGCCGAATCTTCGATTTATGGAGGAAAACAACATCCAATTGCTTCAGTTCGGTGTCCCCGGCAACAAGGAGCCCTTTGTCGACATCCCCGAGCCGAAGATGGCCCTTGCTCTGGCTGCTCTGCTTGGTGCGTGCCGGGAATTTCTGCATTTGCCCTCCTTTGCCCCTGCAGAGGGCTGTTTCTCACCACTCGACACGCCTCCCCCTCCCCCCCCCCCCCCCCCCCCCTTGTCCCCTTCCACTCCCTTGATGCACCCGTTGCCCAGACCGGCGCAACCATCCTGTCCTCATCCATTGCAATAAGGGCAAGCATCGGACCGGCTGTTTGGTCGGGCTTCTCCGGCGATACCTTCGTTGGTCACACACCAGCATCTGCCGCGAGTACCGCCTTTACTCGGCTCCCAAGGAGCGTGCCATGGACCAGCAGTTCATTGAGCTTTTTGATATGGGCCGGATACGCCCACTGGTGGACCCCCGGTGGTTGCCCTCATGGCCGGAGGTGGCTGGGCTATTGGCCGGCCCAACGGCTCCCTCCGGCGATGAGCCTTCTTCCGAGGCAGACTCCGAGCCTGCTCCTGGTGGATGATCGGCGAGGAAGACAGAGCACCAAAAAAAAAGAAGAAAATAGACAAGCCGTGGCTTCGCCAATCGGCCACAAACAGCATGCTGATCGCGCTCACCATCAATCGAGACACCTCTCCCTGTGCTGTGGAAACGACTCCGACTCTCGGCGCGACGCGCGAGGGCAACCATGGGGGGGGGGGGCGGTGGGACATGAGCGGTGGTGGGCCCAAAGCACCAGGCGCCTCTTCCTGCGAGATCATCTTGTCCGAAGGTAAGCCGCTCATGAGGGCTTGTGCAAGGGGAACGCACAGCCGACATGAGCCCGCACACACGGGAGAGGCATCAATAACGAGGTGGCGGTCCAGGGGACACAGGCCCCGAACCAAAAAAATACAAGTGTGGATACCCAGAATCGAACTGGGGCCGAGTGGGCCACAACCACTTATACTAACCACTATACGATATCCACATGAGTCTCTGTGGACTTCATGACTATTTGTTCGTTGTAACCATAATGTCACCTCCGACATTGCGTCGGAACTTCGCTCCGCTCACCTCCTCCGCACCTGCCTCACCTCGCCCTGCTCTGTTTTCCCCCT